GCTGTCCTAGGGTCTCATCATATCCCGGTCAGCACTGAGTGCTCCTGAACAAACCCTACCTGGAGATGAGGACACTGGTGCTCAGAAGACACAGTAGTGTCTAGCCCAAGGTCACACAGCTGGTGACTGGGGGTGCGGGTTGAGGGGAGGAGCTGAGCTGGGACTGTCTATCTTGTACTTGGCCAGCATGGCGGGTACAGTTGAGGCCTCCACAGAGCCCCTCTGCCAGTCCTAGGAACCTTGTCCCTCCTCCTCCTCCACTTAGCAGGTGGGAAGGGGGCACAGAGTCAAACGAAGATGAAATTTCCTTGCCTAGGGTCCTGCTGCAAGAGTGTGACGGAGGCGGTAGCCTCCAGCTCTTCTGACAACAGCCTGTACTTGGTGGCACCACCCCACCTGCCTCCATCTGTGACCTCCAGGCCAGTTGGTGGCAAGAAGCATGAGGGAAGGAGGGGCAGGAAGAGGCAGGGGACTCATCCATCGCTGGCGATTACACGGTGCTTTGTCATTCTTAATTACCTCAGCAGCTCTCCTGCCAGATCTCCCAGTGGATGCCTGGGCTGAGAGGACACAGCTGCAGGGCCACCAAGGAGGCAGACTGGATGGGTGGGCCCGAGGGGTCCCTCAGGAGCACCCCAGCTCCTTTAGTCACTGCCTTCCTTCAGTTGTTGAGGGTCTCCCACTCATGAGACACTCTGAGAACAGGGGGCAGAACTGAAATCCTCAGATGTGTATTGAGCATTCCCCTGCCAGGTGCTCCAGGGGACCTTGCCTGGGTGAGTGACAATTTCCAGCCCCTTTGCCTGAGGCACACTTAGTGCTAGAAGAGGCAAACAACTTCACCATAATCATTACATTAATAGTGACCAGAGCAACCACTTACCAAGCACCTGCCACATGCCAGGCATGGCACCGAGCATCTCCCACATCTTACCTCACTGAAGCCTTAAGGGCCCTCTAAGGTCAATATGGTACAGATGAGGAAACTGAGGCTCAAGTTAGCCAAGGTTACACATATATAAATGGTGGGTTTGGTTGAAGAACCCAGGTATGTGGAACTCCAAGATCAGTCACTGTGTAGGGACGTGTGTGTTTGTGTGTTCGTGTGTTAAGGAGAGAAGCATGGTGTGTGGGTATCTCTGATTGTGGGTACTGAGGAGTAGGCCAACTAGATGTTCTGGGCAAAGCTTGGGCATCTGGGCAAGGGGAGGATGTTTCTGGAAAGGTGTGAGGAGGGAGGGTTTCCGAGGCAGCTGGTTGGGCTACCTGGTGAATGGGCCAGAAAACTCCTGCAGTGGAGAGAAGGTCACAGCTGAGTGTAGACAGGAGTCCCTGGGGCTCCTGACTCACCACAACCCAGGCTCCCTAGAAGGCTGTCTCTGACTGAGCCGGGGGTGGGTGGGGGACTGCCAGCTGGGGCTGCCTGGGGGGCTGAGGAAAGGCTGAAGCTTCCCCAGCTCAGACCATCATAGGCCAGGCTGGTTCTAATCACCTTTCCCTGGGGACCAGCTGGGGATTATGACAATAAGTCACTGGTGCCATTTCATCTTTATTGTTCATCCAGTTAGGAAAGAGCATTTAGTTTTATTAACCACTTACCAGTCCAATTATTTAAATACGGGATGAGTCAAAATTGCATTATTTTTTCATTAATTTTTGTAAGATGACAGGAAATATAAAAATGATAATTTTATCAAATTTGTTCAATACAAGAATCGACCAGGTTAAAGTGACACCTGCCTGAGTGACACTTGGAATAGTATGTAAACAAACACGCTGCCTGAGTGACGCTGGGGGTAAACTGCTATGTGGTTAAAATAGGCAACATATAGAACACGTACTATACACTAGGCATAATTCTAAACATGTCACAAACATTAACTTTTCAATCCTCATGACAACCCTGCAAAGTAATTCTGATTGTCTTCGTCTGTTCTGGCTGCTGTAACAAAATACTGGAGTGAGTGTCTTATAGACAACAAGAATTTATTTCTCTTAGTTCTGGAGGCTGGAAGTCCGAGGCCAAGGAGCAGGCAGATCCCATGGCAGTGGTGGGGGACGGGGGCGGGGGGTGTCTGGTTCACAGATGCCGTCTTGTTCCTGGAGCCTCATGGGGTGGAAGGCGCCAGGGATCTCTCGAGCATTTCTTTTCTACTCACTCATTCATGAGAGCTCTGCTTTCATGACAACCAGCTCCCAAAGGCCCCTCTCCTAATACCATCCCCTTAGGGTTAGGATCTCAGCGTTTAAATTCTGAGGAGACATAGACATTCAGTCTGTTTTATCAGTTTTACAGGGTCTTGCTATGAAGTTCAGGCTGGCCTTGAACTTACTATATAGCCCAAGATGGCCTCAAAACACCCAAAGGCATGATCCTGAGTCGATCTTCCTGCCTCAGCCTCCTGAGATTATAAGTGTGCACCACCATGCCTGTCCCATTTTACATTTTTGAGGAAACTGAGGCTGGCGGAATGTAAATGAAGTAAAGGCCATGAAGTAGAGATGTAAGGGAGCTATGACCTGCTGTCTCCCACCAATGACTCCCACTTTAGGGACAGAAGAACAGGTGGTCTGACTTAGCAGGGACAGACCATTAATGGAGCCCAGGCTTCCATCTTGATCCCAATGTAAGCCGAGGTCGCAGCTGGAGAGAGGCCGAGAACCCATCCTAGCTCCCTGGAATCCACTCTCTCACTGGGTCCCCTGGAGCCCACAGCAGAGAAAGCAGGGGCTGGGGATACAGCTCAGTGGTAGAGTGCATGCCTAGCATGCATGATCACTGTAGAAATGTTTGCAAAGTTAGAAAGATTTTTTTTTTTAAATAGAGAAGAAAAATCATTGTCCTGAAGAAAAAGGTCCTTCCCTGCGCTTATAAGAATTCCAGATGGGAGCCAGGAGACCTGGCTTCTGGTCCTGGCTTACTGTGTGACCTTGGGGAAGTCCCTGCCCCTCTCTGGGCCTCAGGCTCCTCACCTGTGAAACGGGTTTGGGCACAGAAGAGGCCCCTCGAAGCCCTGACTTCTGTTTCTGGGAGTGGCAGAAGGGGCACTAGTAGGCTGCCCTCTGCAGGGGCAGCCAGCTGACAGCTCCCAGCACGTCACTGCTGGTAGGACGCAAGGCTAGTTAACAGTCTTCATGGCACACACTTCCCAGGCTGCCTTCCCAGGATGCCTGCTTACCTTGCATATGGCACCTCCTGCTAGCCGGACGCTGCCAGCTGCTCGGGCCAGCCCTGGTGACCACGTGTCCTCCAGGATCCAGAAAGGTCTCTATGGTTTTCAGACCCAGCTTCCCTGGAGTAGACAGCGGGGGATACACAGCCCTGTGACCCCCCAGAAGTGACAGAATGGAAAGGGACACTGACTGTTCCAACTCCATTTGGACCTCTTGTTAGGCATTTGAGATTCAGAAATGAATCAGAAAATCTATCTACCCTTGAAGGACGCAATGTCTAACAGAGGGGAGAAGAGCAACACTCACAATGCTGAATGCTCAGGACTGTGGGAGCCCCGGGGAGAACCCTAATCCACGGTGGCAGCCCAGGAGGCATCCTGGAGAGATGTCACTGGAGGGGACATCTCTAAAGGTAGATTCTCGTGAACAGAATTCAGCCCTTCTAACTCCTGTCATTGAATCCCTATGGGGCTGGGGATGTAGTTCAGTGGCAGAGCAGTAGCCTAGCATCCGAGAGGTCCTGGTTCAATCCCCATCACCACTAAAAAGTAAAAATAAAAATATAATCCTTATAGATAGCCCTGAGCAGCAGGTATTGTTACAGATGAGGCCCAGAAAGGTGAGTTCACAAGCACCCAGAGGACAGCTGGGTTCTGACCCCTGCTGCTGCTCTCTGGGGCCAGTGGGCCTGAGTCCCATCCTAGCCTCAGACTTCGAGAGTCCCTCAGGGTTCCCATCTATAAAGTGGTCTACCTCAGGCTTCACTGGCCGCACAAGCAATGTTTCTGGGCACAGTGAAGGGCAGAATGGCTGCAAACACTTGGTGTAGAAACAGTGGAATGTGAGCAAGGCCTCCCTATCCTGCTGGGGCTAATACAGCCCTGCCTTCCTCAGGGCACAGTAATTACAGAGGCCGAGTCGTACCCTCAAGGGAAAGAAGCCGGGCAGTGGCAGTGGCTGGGACGTGCTGTGCACTCGCCTTGGCCCAGAATCCTAGAGTAAGGATTCTAAAATCCTGGAGTTAGAACATCTGAGTTTGAGGAAGTCTAGAGTTCAGACTGCCCTGGAAGTGCCTCCCAGGAAGTAGGGCAGAGTTTGGGTTAGGTCATGCAGCACAAGGGTCCTGGGAGGCTGGCCGGATCAGTAGAGACAGGGATGACTTTCATTTTACAGATAACAAAAAAACCTGGAGGGGAAGGACCTGCCTGGGGTCACACAGCAAGTCTGTCAGAGGCTCTTCCCCACACCTCAGAGGCAGACAACGCAAGCCACACCATTTCCCAGACCACCTGGCATGGGGTAAGCAGGGGGCAGGTCAGGGTGCCCAGGAGGTGCCTCGGAGCAGCCTGTCTGCTGTATAAAGCAGTGAATTGCTAAAGGCACACATTTATACTCCTGCCTCTTGCCAACAAAGTTCCACAGACTCTGCTCTCTTACACCCAGCCTCACTGCCCTGGGTATCCCCCTTTCTTATTCCTGAACCAGACCCCTCCTTGTTCTGGTCCTCAGTCTTCCCATCTATAAACTGGTCTCCAAATACCTCTCAGCTGAGCTTTCTAGAATCCTAGGCCCTGACCTCCTGGGGCAGGGGCAGCGGCGTCTCTCGGACCCTCAGACCCCTATGGAGACTGGGGAGAGGGAGGAAAGGGTTTTATGTAACGCTTCCCGATCAAGGTCTTGGAGAAGCCTTTTGCCCTGGCAGCTTGTGCAAGCCAGAACGTGTGGGCTCTGAGCAAGGGCAGGCCAGGGCGGGGCGAGGTCGGGTAACGAGGGGGCGTGTCAGTGGGCGTTCCCGACCGACTTCTCCCCGCCCCTGGATGTAGCCCGGGAGCTCGCGCCAGGAGCTGAGGGGAGGGGAGGAGTGCGCAGTGGCGCGCCGCCTGGCGGGGCGGAAAGTTTTCCTGACGGAGTTTTGGCGGCGGCCGAGCGGGCCATGGACGCGCTGAAGTCCGCGGGGCGGGCACTGATCCGGAGCCCCAGCCTGGCCACGCAGAGCTGGGGGGGCGGCGGCCGTCACCGCAGTGAGTGTGTGTGCGTCCGCCGGGCCGGGCAGGGCCAGGGTCGGGCAGAGGCGCGCGGCCTCCCGGGGCGCCCGAGTCTGGCCAAGTTGGCGGGGATGTGGGGCCTGACCCGCGATCGCGTCCCGGCCCTGCGGGATCGGGGTCGCCCGGGGTCAGGTCTTGCTTCTGCTGCCCTCACCATCTGGGAGGAGGGCAGAGCCCGGGAGGAGACCGAGCTCGGGGTCCCCAGGTGCAGTTGGTGCGCGGAAGGGTGCGGGTGGGGAGGAGACCTTGGCGACCCCCGGCACCTCCCCAACCCGCTGCCCCGGGCAGCTAGGGAAGGCCGGAGGTCAGCGCCCCGCCCGGGGACGAGGGGTGGGCGCGGGTACTTGGGAAGATGCCTCATCCTCGTACCCCACGGGAGACCGCAGTGGCGGGCAGGAGCCCACTACCCCCCGCCCCTCGAAAGACGTGGTGGGAGGCGTCATCTAACTCCCAGGCCTCAGGTGTGAGCCCGAACGCACGTTCCTACTTGTTGGGAGCGGGCCGCCCTGGGCTGTCTCAGGTCGCACACCGAGCGATCTAGACCCTGCGACCTCTCCCCAAGCTGCGTCCAGGTGTTGAGTCTGGCGTTCAGGTTATTTTTGAAACCTGTTTTCTTTTGCGTCTTCCCCTGGGCTTCCGAAGTCCCTGAGAGCCTAGGCAAAAGGCAGACTCGCGGACTTATGGGAGCGGGTGAGCGCCCCCCCCCCCCCCCCCCGGTTACTCTCCAGGAGCCCATCACCTGGCACCTTCCCCTGAGGCCTGAGAAACCTAGCCTAGGAAGGCCTTCGGGTCACACAGGCCTTCCTGGCTGATACGGAGCCAAAGCACAGGACTCCTGCAAACCCTCACCCCTACCCGCCAACCACTAGGGCCACAGCCCCCCTCCCCCAACAGTACAGCCACCCCACCTCTAGTCCCTTCTTGTCTTCCAGGGCTCCACCAGGGGAGCCAGAGTTCCCTGGTCCCAGGAGCGCCAGCGTGTCTGGGCTGAGTGAGCCCGCCCTGCCCCTCCTCTTGCCCCAGTCTGCTGTTCCAGCTGTGGCTTCCTCCTAGCCCAGACTGGCATTGGGAACCCAGCTGGTGTCTGCTGGTTGGGGTGGGATCAGAGGCCTACTAGAGCCAGGCCAAGCACGCACCATCTCCCACACTCATTAACTCCCTTTAAACATTCGTGGGCTGCGACCAGGACTTCGGAGAGAATGACTGTCTCTCCCAGTGGAGGAACCCTGTTGTCTCCGGCGGAGAGAGGGTGGGTGGGGCAGGATGGGTGGGGCAGCCCCCCAGGGAAGTGATTGGAAGGGGAAGGAGCCCGGAAGAACCTCTAAATATGGGGAGGGGAAAGAGCGAGCCACTTTGGGTGTTGGGAAAGACTTTCTCTTGCCTGCACCAGTCTAGGGCAAGTCAGTTGTCCTTAATGATCCTGTTTCCTCACCTGTAAAGTGGGGAAGAACAATTCTTACATGGCTGGAGTGTTAAGAAGATTGTTGATAATAATGCTCCCTCCTCATTGGTGGTTTCCCTCCCCCATTCCCCTTCCTCCTGCTGTGTAGACCTTCAACTTGATTCTTACTATGGTGGACCAGGTTTTGAGGCCTGAGCCTGTGAAGACCTTGGAGAAAAGCAGAGGAGCCCCTCTGTCCCTCTCCTGGCTTCCAGAAGCCTTCTGTATCTTGAATGAACTATTCCAGTTTGTAGTTCTAAAGCACAGTTCTCCATCTGTAAGTTGCAAATAACTGTAGTAACTGCCTCAGACTTCTGTATGGGGGTTAAATCAGTGCATTTTACCAGACAGAGAAGACTTCAATAAATGGTGACTAGTGCATTTTTTTTTTAAATGAGACAGGGCCTTGCTTTTAATTTAGGCTGGCCTTGAACTTGTGGCAGTCCTCCTGCCTCAGCTTCCCAGTACTGGGACTGCAGGCATGTATCACCATGCCCTGGCTACTGCTTTTGTCACTGTGTTTTACAAAGTGTTTTTGCTCCTGTTACCTCTGCTCATGTGAGGTGACAAAATGAGATTCTTATCATCAGACCCATTTTAGAAGTAAAGGAACTGAGTTTGGGAAAGTGCGGTCATAGGCCTCAGATAGAGTTTCCAAGAGGTAGACCTCAGTTCCTGGCTGTGGGAGCTCTGACCAAGAGAACTGAGGCAGGCCCCAAACCAGCTTGGGCTGGTAGCATCTGAAGACACTGCGGCTGCATGCTAGAGGGAAGCCATGGGATGTGGGGGGTTGGGGGCTGGGGCAGCCTTGTTTGGGATTATGACCCAGCCAAGCAATGGGCCGAGCCCTCCAGATGTGAGGCCTGTGGTTGAGTTTTGAGGTAAAACTGACACAGTGGAATTAAGATTAGGCTTGACCCCTGCTGCCTGCAGTGATCTCGCCTCTCCAGTAAGATTAGCAGAGTCACTGCTTTATGTGTGGAGAAACTGAAGCCAGAGAAGGACTGCAGCTTGACTGAGGTCACAGAGCAAAGCCAGACTCCAGGCTTCTTTACGCTGAGCCTTAAGCCTCCTGTTTCTCAGTTGTCCTGACCTTGAAAGATGGTTCTCTCCCTCTCCCACGTAGAGTTTTTTCCGTCTTGAGAGCCATAAATATTTTATCTCAGTCCCTGGAGAAAGGGTTTTCCTTTCTTCCAGCTGCCTGGAAGGGTGGTTTGCCCTGGCCCTTTAAAACCCTTCTTTTCGCAGATACTGGGGTTGCTCCGACCCTTGGGCTCCTTGTGGTTATGTCAGTCTATTAGAACCCAAAGAAAAAGGATAAGGAAAAGGTACCAGTTCCAGTAAAACTAATTCATGGTGGGAGGTGGAGGAGGGATCTTTTAATTTACTTACAATGATATAGTATAAATATTATACATAAATAAACTGCCAGACCATAATACTTATTGAGCACTGACTAAATGTCAGGCACTGATATGGGTATTGGGGAATCTGGGAACTGAGTTGTGACTCAGTTTGGAGAAGGAGTCAAGAAAAAGGCCAAAGCTGCAGGTTAATAGTATGGTTAGGGATAGCAGGAACGCTGTGAAGAAAAGTAAAATGGGCCAGGGAACAGCTTCTTTAGATAAGAAGGTGTGTTTGGGTTCTTCTAGAAGTAGCCACTGAGACAGGGATCTGAGTGCAAATTATTTATTTGGGAAGAAGTCCCGGGAAATATTGTTAGGACAAATGAGAAGGGAAAAGAGTCCAAAAAAGCGGACATTATAAAGTGAATGACTACTGTGGGCTGCTGGAGCTTAATACCATGGGCGAACTCTGGGAGCCAGGGTAAATATGCTCCTCAGGGGTGCTCCCTTTGAGGACTGACTGGCAGTCCTGGCTGGAAGACTGCTGGGGATGGGAGGCCTTAATTCCCCAGTCTGTGTGGCATTGGTGACTCCAGCAGGCAGTGGCAGGGGCTGACAGTCAGTTGGCATGTGAGGAAGTGGTGCACCCAGGAGATGAGGCTGGTGTCCTGACAGCACCACCTCTCTAAGAAGGGGACTTGGAAGACTCAGGTGAATCCAAAGAGGAAGAACCTGGGAACCTGGGGACATTAACTGGAGGCTGAGCCTTTGTTCTCACAGGTCTAGTGGCTACGAGAGGAGATGAGGTTTGATTCAGAGGTTACCCACTGCCCACTGAGGGTCAGCTGCTCCTTTTAGGCAGAGGGCAGGGTGACCCCTTCCTTACATCAGAAAGCGGCTTGGTGGGCTGCAGGAATGGATATAGGAATTGAGTCCCAGTGCAGTCATTTATGAGCCATGGACCCACTCCTCTGAGCGCTTTATCTGTGAAATGGGAATGCCAACATATCCTTGACTCTTCTCAGAAAGTACTGTAAATGGTCTTGGATACATTAAAGCACTCTGCACTTGATCATTGGCAGTGACAGTAGCTCGAACTTAAGCTCTTCTCGGCATGGACCAGATGTGTGTATGGACATAGGAGCTTGTTTTATCCTGATGGCAGCCCTATGGGGTAGGTACGATTATTGTCCCCATTTTGTTTGTCTGTTAGTTTTTAGAGACAGTCTATGCTGGCCTCAAACGTTTTTTTTTTTTTTTTTGGTACCGGGGATTGAACTTGGGTCCTTCTGCTTTCGAGGCAAGCGCTGGAACCACTGAGCTAAATCCCTGGTCCCTGGCCTCAAACTTTTGATCCTCCTGGCTCAGTCTCCTGAGTGCTGGAATTACAGGCATGCACCACCATGCCCAGCTTATTTTCTCTGTCTCAAAGTGAGGAAACTGGAGCCCAGGGAGATTGAGTAACTGAACCCCCAGACCATCCAGAGCCCATTATTTTTTCTTACAGTATAAGTTGGTGCTTAGGAAACAGTAGGTGTTGTATAATTTGAAAAATTATTTTCTTTTGATAACAATCTCAAAAGCTTTCACTTCTGAAATTTGTCTAATACTTTTCACATCCAGAAGTTTCTGATGATGCTTCTGAAGACTGTCAAATAGATTGCAAACCAGAGAGGCAGCTGTTGCCATCAGGGCAGAGCTTGGGTCCATACCTGAGAGATTGTCACTCTGAGACTCCTAGGCTGTGGCCTGCCACACTGGGGAGCCCGGCTAGGGCCCTGCACAGAGGCTCCCTCAGCCTGTGGATTTTGCTGCAGCACTGATGTTCCAGATACCAGCCAGCTGGGTGCCCTGGGGTGGCAAAGGGACATAGGGCTTCCAGCCCTAACTCCTTGGTAGTTAGGAGGTACATGGTGATAGAAAGAAGTTAGACTGGGCTTATGGTCTGTCCCCAGTTAACTCCAGCAGTAGGTCATCTGTAAAATGGCAAAGTTGAAACAGCACAGTCATTACCCACCCTGAGGCTGAAAATAACTGGGACCGGAACAGGGCTCTGGACTCAGCCTTGTATTTGCTTGGGGCCTCTGGTTGCTACCCCTGAAGCCCAAGTCTCATTGGGAGGGAGATGTAGCCTCAATCCGTGAGCTGTAGTGCAGGCTGGCTGCATCCTGTGTGAGGTGGCTGGGTGATGAGCAGGACAGGATGGCAGGAAACCTCACGTGTCTGTCTGTCCTGAGGGGCCCCGTGCTGGTTTCTGAGGGGAAGTTGTAAGCACAATAGACCGCACACCTCAGTGAAGAGCAAGTCGTGCACAGGGGAGGAAGCTTCCCTCGAGGAAAGGAGCATCTTGGTGGGACCTGGGAACATTGATGACAGGGATGAGGGACAAGGGAGAAGCAGGACGAGACTGGACAACATTGTCCAGCAGGGGTGCTCCTTCCTCGTTCCACTTCCTGGGAGAGGCAGTCATAGATGGTAAGTCCATGGAGGGGAAGACACTGCGGGAGGCAGCTGCTTGGCTGTAGATGTCCAGCCTTGGGAGGAAAAAGAGATTCATACTCAAGAAAGGCGCCTATGATTGGCCTGATCCTCGCTGAGTACATTTCATTTCATTATCTCATAGCAGCCCAGAGATGTAGGGATTGTTGCCTTCCTCATTTTATAGATGAGAAAACTGAGACTTAAGGGAGATAATTAACTCAGAATAAGTCAGAACTTGGATGCTAGGATTAAGGCCCTTGCTCTTAACCCACTGGGCTGTACCTCCTCAGAGAAGGCTTCCTGGAAGAGCTGGTTTTATGGGGTTTTGATCAAGCAAAGGGAAGAAGAGTATTTGGGATAGAGTATTTGAGAAAAATCTCCAAAGTTGAAACTAAATGTTCCATTATGAGGAGGAAGTTTTTCAGAAGGAGCTTCTCAGCTGTGTGTGTGTGTGTGTGTGTGTGCACGCGTGTGTGTGTGTATGTGCGTGTGTGTGTGTGTGTTTTGAGAACGGAGGTAGGGGTCTCCAACAGTCACTGTGGGGATTGCCTGTAGTGGTGGACTGGGATCCTTTCTAACTTGTCGTATGACCTTGCACAGGTTGCATTCCTCTCTTGGCCTCAGTTGCATCATCTGTCAAATGAGGGATTGAGATAGAGGGTCTCTGAGGCTAATGAATACTTTTCAATCTACCAGTAAGCTGTAGAACTGGGGAAGGGTCAGGCCAGGGAAGGAAGAATGCAGAAAAATGCCAAGCATTTCAGAGGTCAAGGAGAACAGGGGAATGTTTTGACAGCAAAGAGATCACCAGTGACCTTGGCAGGCTTTGTTCCTTTGAAATGGAGGGAGAGGAAGTGGCTTTGGAAAAAGGCCAGGAAATGGCTGAGGCAGAGGAAATGGGAGAGTGGGGACATGAAAACTGGGGAAAGAAGGATGTTTGCTATAGGGCAGCAATGGATAATGAGATGAAGGAGGCCTCTGATTGATTAGTATGGTCTGCCCAAGGCCCTGTTAAGAAATAGAGAGAAATGGAGTTGAAATCACTTAGCAATGTCTGTCAAGGACACAGGCAATGGGCATGGCAGCACTCTGTTTTACCATCCTTGCCTAGATGGGTACCAGGTTGAAAGTGGTGGTCTGGGTATACTGGCTTGCTCTGAGGAAGCTTCAGGTATTTGGAAAACCCAATTCTAGATGGAAGACTGTACCACCAGCTCCCAGAAACTCTCCTTGACCTTTGGCTAGAATTAAGGTATTTTGCCTCAGGGTAAAGTAGCCTGCCACTAGTCAGGAGCTTGGATTTTAGAATCAGAGTGCTTTGAGCCTCAGTTTCATCTGTAACATGAGAATGAAAGAATAGCTATTTGCAAGGTAACTGTGAGTGTTTGAGGTGATAGTAGTAGCTAGTGTTTGTTGGATCTTTGTTACCTGGTAGCTCCGATTTGCCCCATCATGTTGCTATTATCTTGGCTTCTTTTCTTTTTTTTTTTTATCTTGGTTTCTTTGAGAAAAGGGCCTATATCTGATTTGCTCTGGGGCCTCTCATGTGGTACTGGACTTGGGACACCTCAGGGACTTTCTGTATTTTGGAGAGTCAAATGGAATAGGGTTATTTATGGTGGATGGGACAGAGGATAGGGTCCCTTTGGGCTTTAGGGTCATCTCAGTGGGGTAAAGGCCTAGGTATGAAGGCTAAAGGCAGTGTCTTGTCCCTGAGCTGGGATGAGGTTGTCTAAGTCATTCTTTTATTCACCAAATACTGAGCACTAGCTGCGTACTAGGTTCTAGATGACCAGTCAGCAAGCCCATAGTTTCCTGTACGAAACCCCCAACCCCATGTGTGTGGTATGTGTGTGTGTCTCTGTCTCAGAGACTCAATGGATTGTGTGGCTCAGTGCAAATCCGGAGACTGGGTGTATAGGCCCCCCTGGCTGTGGAGGAAGGAGATAGAGGCCCTGGAACCTAAGGCTCTGTGACAGGAGCTAGGAGGGGCAGCAGGGGCCCAGAGTGGATAGGGGACCTAAAGGAATCCTCTGGGCCCTGGATTCCAACTCCTAACTGTGTAGAAACCCCAGAGCCAGGCTGAACTTTGGGGGGAAACCCAGGGCCTCAGCTGTGCTGGAGCCTGTGATTCCCACTTCTGTACTAGATTCCTGTAGCTTTTCCATCAGCGCTGGCACAAGACTTCCCCCAGCCTCCTCTCAGGGGTGGTCTAGGGCAGCTGGCCCTGCTCACGTCTTTGGTGGCCCTTGGCAGCTGGTCCCAGTCTGGATCCTCCTCTGTCCTTAACAGGACCACAGGTGAGCTGGCCAGCAGTTTTCTCATCTGTGGAATGGGTGCAGTCACAGTGAGTACCTTCTGCAGGTGCAGCAGTTGTAAGGGGTGATAAGGACAGCAGGCCCCATAGGGGGAGTATAGGCCATGTGTTTGTGCTACAACCAGGCCTGCATGGGTCTGGACCCCGTCCCTGCTGCTTCGCCATGTTGTTTCCCTCTGACAGGGTACATCTGGGATTCAGCTCCAAGGAGGGCCCCTAGGGGTGGTCAAGCCTCCATCGAGGGCCACACCTCCCTTCATGTCCCTCTGCCTCCTCAGTGCCCTCTCCTGTGTGAGGGTCTCTTCCCAGCTTCCCCTCCCGGTGAGCAGCTCTTCCCCATCTCCCAACCTTCCTCGTGGTAGTCATGGTCAGGAGTCCTCAGAGGACCTTCCCATCTATCCTGGTCTGTGCCATTGCTGCACCCAGAGGGACAGCATTTTTGGTCTCAAAGGGGACAGGGGACTTCCCTGAGATGGGCATGGAGAGCCAGAGCTCAGACTAACCCAGGGCTAGTGAGTCAATGTAGCATCCTTAGAGAAATCCTCTCCTTCCCCATTGACCCTTACCCCAGCCTCTCTCCTTTGGCTTTGCTTTTGCTTTGCTGGTCCCCTCCCACCAGCCAGTTGGTCTCTGGATGTGCAGGTGGACTAAACAGTGGAGGGTGGGTTCATGGCAACCGGTCAGGTGACTATAATTCTCTACTTGCTGCATGTGGCTTTTGTCTCATGCCTTTGCCCCTCTGAGCCTCAGTTTCCTGATCTGTGTAATGGGACAGTACCCACCTCACAGAGTCACAATAAGGATTCAGCAAGAAAATGGCATGATTTCCCCTGGGCAGTTGTTAGTATTGAAGTTCAGTTTGGGTTTGGAACTTGAAACATGGCCAGATCTCTGGCACTGGCCGGCTCCTGGGCTTGGTTATGTGCCCTGGCTTCCTTGGACTTGGATCTGTCTGCGGTGGGTGTGATACAAAGTCTATCTTATGGATTCTCCTGAGAATTAACAAGGACATTTTGTGTAAACCTTCTCACCCAGCACTTAGTGTGTTCTAAAAAACATTAGTATTAATACTAAAAACAAGGCCGGAGTTTTAGCTCAGTGGTTCCACCTCCTGCCTTGCAAGCGCAGGGTCCCAAGTTTGATCCCCGGTACCAAAAAAAAAAAGTAAAAACAATGATGGTGGACCCTGGGACCCTTTGCCAGGTTTTCCAAGGAGGTAGATTAGTGAGAATTGGCTGGGTCTGAGGGCCACCATGTCCCACCCTAGAGCTGCCAGAGAACTGGACAGACACCCGGGAGACACTGCTCGAGGGCATGCTCTTCACCCTCAAGTACCTGGGCATGACACTGGTGGAGCGGCCCAAGGGCGAGGAGCTATCAGCCGCTGCTGTCAAGAGGATCGTGGCCACGGTGAGTGCCCTGTCAGGAGAGGGTGGAAGCCACGGGCTTTGTTTCATCGAAGCCCCAGCTTGTCACCCCAGAGGGATATGACTGAGCCTGGCCCTGCCCTTGAGTCTCCCTGCGTCTGGTTCAGAGCTTTGGCGGAAGGGAATAGGGTCAGGGCCAGTGTCCTCCTCTCCAGCCATTATGGCCATGGCCATTCCAGCCTCATCTGCAGCCCAGGCTCCTTCCCTAAGTGTTAGTGACATACTGGCATTAGGGAGCCTGAGAAGGTTGTTGTCACTCAGACACATTTCCAGTGGCATGCGGAACAGTGTAGCCCACCAGGGACCAGATTGCCCTGCTCCCCACTCTGAGTGAGCACAGGCCCATTAAATCTGCTTCCGGTGGTGGCCTTGACCCCAGGTTCAGGCCCCTGCGTGTGTGGTGGGTGGAGCAGTCCACAGAGGTGGAGTTGCACTGCTGGGTTGTGACAGCTCTCCCAGCTGTGTGTCCTTGGGCAAGTCCTTTAGCCTCTGAGTCCACTTCCATGAGGAGGAAGATGGGAGTGCACCTTCTGCCTGTGAGGGCCAGTGCTGGTGCTAGTGGACAGCAGCATTTGTCCCTGTTTTATTTCGAGAGGTGCTGGTCAGGTGTCCTTCCCATGCCACTTGCCAGTCCTCTGAGCTAAGCCTCACACAGGCCCTGTGTCTGGTGTGTGGAGTAGCTAGGTGTAGCCTAGGGGGTGGATTGCAAGAAAGGCAGGCTCCTCTTACCCCTTTCTTCCCCCAGGCCAAGGCCAGTGGGAAGAAACTACAGAAGGTGACTCTCAAGGTATCGCCACGAGGAATTATCCTGACTGATCACCTCACCAACCAGCTCATTGAGAATGTGTCCATTTACAGGTATGCCTGGCAGGGCGTGGTCCTCATCACTCAGACACTTGGCAGTACGTGGAGTGTCCTGTCTGAATCCAGGACACTTGATATCTGAGTGACCTTGGAGACTCAGTTTTCTCATCTGTAAAGTGGACTTGGGAGCAGGTCCTGCCTCACCATGCTAGTGCCCAGCACCCAGTTCACAGGGAGCACTTGGTGAGGTGGCACTTGCTGCTGTCCCCATCACCAGTTGTAACAGGCAGCTGAAGCCTGACAGAGCCTGAGCCCCCACCCCCCATCCCCGTGCTCCTGCTGTATCTCCTGCATGCTGCTGAGTCACTGTAGGAACAGACAGCTGCAGAGTCACTGCCTCTTCCTTCCACTGTGAATGCAGCAGCCCAGCCCTAGACATCTGGCTGGGCATCCCAGGATGCCTCATGCAGGGTCCGGAGCCAGAGTATAGATGGTCTTGTCCAGTGGGCACCCTGGTCCTAGGGAGGCAGGTCTAGCTCTTGGAGCCCCAGGCTACCCCCACTTCTCTCTTTGCTAGTCAGTTATAGTGTTTCAGAACTGGAAGGGCCATCCCAGACCCATTTTATAGATAAAGAAGCTGAGGCCCAAAGAGGGAATGGCCTAACAGTGCATAGTGAGGTAGTGGCTGAACAGACATGGGCACCCAGGTGGGAGCTCTGCCAAGCAAGTCCCTTTCCCTAGGCAACTTTCCACTTGCTTTGTCCCCAGGGAGGTGGCTCAGCTTGAGCAGAAGCAGAAGCACAAGCTAGTAGTGGGGTTGGGGGTTGTGTATGTGTTGGGAGATAGTTTCAGAGTTTTGGGCTGTACCTTTCACTCATCTTTCTGAATCTACCTGCCTGCCTTTCACCAACATTTCCAAGTAACTGCTCTGCTGAGGTCTGTGCCAGATGAGGAATCTGACTCAACTCGTGCCCTCCTGGAGCTTCCTCTCTGGGAGGGGAGAGAGAGGAGGAAATAGGATATAGAGTATGTCCCAAGAGGGCAAAGAAGGAGGTAACCACCTGGGGAAACTTGGGACAAACTCCCAGGGGAGATGGGAGCTTACTTGCTGGGGCTTGAAGAATAGCAGAATCTGGCTGATTGGTGCCAAGGACCCAGGGTGTTTAGGCAACAGGCTGAATCCTCTGGGAGGAGAGGAGGCAGCTGGGGACATAGCACTCTACTCTCACTTGGGGTGTTCTGTGGTTATTCAAGTGATACAGTTGTAGTTGGGGCCACCCGGTGAGGAGTGAGTCCACTGAGCTGTTCCATCCTGGTCCACCAGCTCCTCCCCTGATGTTTGGAGATGGCGTGGAGGGATCATTGAGAGCATGAGAGACTGAGGGCTGGGGGAGCTGAGGTTGTGAATGAGCAGGGCAGGAGGTATTCCTACAGAGGGAATGGCCATGTCTCCCCTGAGCCCACTGGGACCGCTGCTTGGATCGCCTTCACACATTCCCAGCCCTGTGCTCCACCCTGGCCACAGTTCCAGGGGGACTTGCTCAGTGTCTCAGTCACCCTGGGAGAGACAGGCCTGGGTCTCCTCTGACATCTGGTCAGGGAGAGTCAGGGCAAAGAACAGCAGTGGACAGCGTGGTGTCCTGCTTCCCCTTCTAGCCAGTCAGCTCAGGCCCTTCAGGGGCAGAGGGCTGATGATTCTGGCTTCTGGAATCCCACCAGTGATTTCATGTCCCAGCTCTGCCACCGGCTCTATACTCCCAGATCTTTAGCCTCAGTTTCCTTGTCTGAAAAGTGGGGATAGTAATAGACCCCATCTCAGAGGGCAGCTGTGGGAATTAAATGAGGCAGTATGTAGAAATTTCTTGATACACTGACTGAGATGCAGTTAGGGTTCAGCTATTACTATTTTTGGGGGTGGCTCAGTATGGCATGGGAGGAAGAGGGAGAAGTGCCCTCCTCCAGTCTTTACCCCCAGACCCTTCTGCCTGGCTTGGATCCCTCTCCCATAGATGGCCCAGGATGTGAGGCTTGGAGGCCAAGGCCAGATCTACAGTCTCACTCCGGTGAACAGGGAACAACAGGCTCTCTGGAACCCAGAAGATGCCCTGTAGCACCTCTCAGATGTGATCAGGCCCCATGCCAGATGTGTTGACACTTGCCGCTTGCCTTTCAGGATCTCCTACTGCACAGCAGACAAGATGCATGACAAAGTGTTTGCATACATCGCCCAGAGCCAGCACAGTGAGAATCTCGAGTGCCATGCCTTCTTCTGCACCAAGCGGAAAATGGTCAGCAGGGAGGATGGGACTGCTCTCAGGGGCCTGTCTGATGTGGGAAGCAAGACCAAAAGTGGCAGTCACTCAAAAAGGATGAAAACCCTTGAGACTCTCAAGTGTGTACCGAAAGCTGAGGGGACAGAGTAGGGCTGCATCAGGCAGTCATCCAGCTGGACAGCCTGGCTGTATACAGTGACTAGCCCCTGTCCCGAGAAAGTGCTTGGGTCCCTTCCCCTCTGTAGAGTGATTTGTTGGCTATGAGAGGATTTTGGATCGCCTGCCATTAGTACAGTCTAGGGGGGAATAAGCTTTGTAGGTATTCATCCTTACAAATGGGAGACCAAAGTAACCCTGGGTGAAAGGCAAAGCCCAGAGTCCTCAGGAGATTAGACTTGCTGTGTGTATGAGTCAGCTTTCCTGTTTCTAGGATAAAAAATATCTGACACATGCACTGTTAAGGAGGAGAGGTTTATTTTGGCTAACAGTTTGAGAGGGTCCAGTCCATGGTCAGCTGCCTCCAAGGCAGGAACATCATGGCAGAAGGGCATGGTGGAACAAAGCTGTTTACTTCATAGTGGCTGTAAAGTAGGGCCTACAGAAAGAGCACCAGCGAGAGGTGTACCCTCCAAAGGCTGCCTCCCATGACCCATCTCTTCCAACTGGGCCCCAGCTCCTAACAGTACATTCAGCTGTGAATAGCAGCAGATGACTCCACTGATGACTATAGTGGCCCATGATTCAGTCACCACTTCAAGAGTCTCTTAATCCAGTGAAGTTGACAAGTAAGATTAACTGGAACAGAGAGACCCATGGCCATGTTTGATATCTTCTACAGACCCATTCCAGTGCTAGGCTCTAAGGCATTTTCCTGTTTAATCTTTACAACAACTGTGCAAAGTGGAAACTATTATGATCTCCATTGGCTTTCTTTAAAATCTTTTATTTATAATGAAACAGACCCCCAGAAAGCCAGCTGGCTTGCTGAAGGTGACACAGTCAGCATGAACAGTGAGTCTTTGAACCTATATTCCTCCCTCCTGCACAACAAGTTGCCAAGAGCTTCCTGTCGTTTTGGGGCCACTTCTTGACCACCTCTAGCTGGTTTGAGTGAATGAAAGACCTTGGGGGGTCTTGGGCATCTCACTTGAATTTGAGTGAGGGCAAGGAGCTGGAGTAGGTCAGCCTTTGGCATTGATGCTTTTGTTTCTGAGGCCCCTGAGATCTGAGCATCTTCCATTTAAGGAGGTTCTTGACATCTATTGATTCAATATCAGCATCTGTTAACCTCTGTTAATAGCTCAGAGCCAGGTCCCCCTGCCCAGAATTCTTGGAGACAATATCCTCTCCCTTTCCCAATCAAAGGACACATCAAGAACATTGGTGGATCCCAGGCTTCCTGCTTTAGATATTGTATAAGTTTCCTATGACTGCCAAAACAGATGATCATAAACTTAGTGGCTTAAAACAACACAAATGTATTCTCTTACAGTTCTGGGGGTCAGAAGTCTAGAATAGGTCATCGGGGTTATGTTTCTCCTGGAGGCTCCAGGGGAGCACCATTTCTTCACCTTCCCTGCCTTCTAGAGACACCTGCATTCCACCTGCTCCTAGTTCATCCCTCCATCCTCCATCTTCAGAGCCAGCGGAGTAGCATCTGCCAGTCTTGCTGATGTCAAATTGCCATTTCTCTTTCTGACTTGATCCCTCTCAAAGCCCCTGTGATGACATTGGGCCTGCTGAGTAATCGAGGATAATCTCCCCACCTCAAGATTATTCTTAACTTAATTCCATCTGCAAAACTCTTTTGCCATGGAGGGTGACATTCACAGGTTCTAGGGATTCAGAGGTGTACATCTGTCAGGGCCATGAGTCAGCCTACTGCAGGTATTGCAGAAGGGGGACTATAGGAAGAGCCAGACCAGATCACAGTAATGTGCTGTGTGGCCTTGGATAAGATCCTGCCCTTCTTTGGTCTGCTTGCCTATCAGCAGAATGACATCCAGAATTATTCCCAAGAGCCCCTGTTTCTTTTGCCCACCTTGTTTCTTTGCTGCAGATTTGGTGTCACTGGCCATTCAGCCAGGGTCTTGTGATGTCCCAAGGCCCTGAGCTGCAGTGTCTTTTCCCCTGAAAACCTTGTTCTCACAGTTGGTAACCCTTGGAGTTGTCTTCTATGAGGACAAGGACTTAAGAATATAAGCTCATCGTGTCCTCATTGTTTTCTCTTCCTCCCTACTGGTGAGCAAGTGCTTGGCAGGGCAGAGTGGCTGGCACCCTGCTATTCCTGCGGTGTGGGTCTGGGTGGAGGGTGTTCCCAGATGCAGTGATTTCCTCTCGATGGGGGTTCTGGGAGTAAGAGAAAGAGGGAGCTGGGCCAGAGGATCTTAGACAGGCTTATGTGAAATCAGCCTGCCCCCAGGATAGAGGGCAATTGCCAAGGAAGACAGAGCCCAGCAATGCTTGGCCACTGGCAGCTGACCCCTGTTGGGCAGAGGGCAGGGCTCCTGCTGCACACCCAGAAGAGTCTTCATGTCTCAGCACATCCTGTCTGGGGTCAGGGCTGACTGACTAGACTGTGGCTTGTCCATCTCGCTTCTTTGTGCCACTCAGCCTCCCCCGTGCAGGGAACCCTGGGAGATTCTCTCTGAGAGACAGCCCAGCCCAGGGTGGTATCAGTCCACCCAGACCTTAGCTCAGCCCAAGCTGGCAGCGTGACGGTCTCATGGCCTGCCCTCGTTGGGACACGGACATTTTCTGGACTCTGCAGGATTTCTGAGGGGAAAGCAGAGGGGAGATGGGCACCTTGGGCTCTGCACTGATCAGCTGGCAGCTGCCTCCGTGGACACATGGTGTCACTTGACCTGGGCTAAGCCCTACACTGGGCATGAGGACCCAGGGTACACAGACAAGTCTGTGGGAATCCAGGGTCCTGGCTCTGGGTTAGGTCATTGTACCTCACTGGAGGTCAGGAGGGGCCCCAGAGACAGAGGCTTGGAAGGATGAGTAGTGAGTAGGGGTTGGCCAGGCTGAGAGGAGGTGCATGACAGGTAGCGCTCACCAGTGTGGGAATTACAAGTGCAAGGCACAACATGGGGGGCTGTTGAGGACTCTTGGCTGGTGGATAGCAAGGCAGAGACAGCCTGTAGCAGGCTTTGAGTGGGATGGTGACCCGGCCATCACTCCTGCATCTCCATCCTGCACCTCCTCACGGGTGCCTGAGTGAGCAAGGAGCTTGAAGAAGGGAGGGGCTCCTTCCAGCCAAGGAAGGCATAGCCCAGTGCAGGGGCAGCACAGCCACCCAGGCCTCCCCTCTCTGTTCCTGTTGTGCATAGTCAAAAGTTTCCCTACAAGGAAACCTTTCCATCTGCCTAGGAGGGAGGCCTTTAAGGGCACTTCAGCCTCTGGGCCAGAAAGTAGAGTTGGAGGAACTCAGGGTTGGCGCACAGGTGCAGGGCTTGGATACCCCCGTTCCACCTTGCATGAGGGGTGGGGCCGTGCCCTCAAGTGGCTGGCCACATTCCTGGGTTAATCCTCAGGAATTTATACTTCTGGGAATCAGGGCTGCTAGGGGCACAGGGCCAATTTGGTCTGATTTAGCCCCTTTTGAGGGGATAAGTCTGGTTATTGGGAACAAAAGGGCAAAACATGGAAAAGTGGACTGAGTGGAAATTAGTCAAGGTGACAGACAGAGGTACAACCAGAGACATGCAGGGGAGGGCTGGGTGCTGGCCTGGGCAGTAGGAAGGCTTCCAAAGCCGACCCAGCAGTTCTTCCCTCTGATGTTGCTGTGGCTTCTTGCAGCCGCCCAGAAGTGGCCCCTTCCCCATTCCCATCCCCATCCCCCAGTCCCTGTCCAGCCTGGGCCTTCAGCCACCTGCACACATCCACATCTCCAGTTATATTTGGCTTAACTTATAGATTGGAACATCAGGGCAAAGGGGCAGGAATGTATGCAAATCAACTGGCAGATTTATGCAAAAACAGTATAAGCTTGTGTCCCGAGGTTTCCAAGAATAATGGTGTTTCCATATCCCTGCCACACTGGGTGACCAGCCCTTGCTTGGGTATAGAGTGATCTGACTCGGGCTGGTAATTAGTCCATATTTTTAGTTCATGGGCAATTCTCAATGGTAACTGGGTCTATTAAACTTGATTCAGACGTGACAGCTTAAATTGTAAACAGCTGTGAAGAGTTTCATACTTAATTACCATATTTAAATTTTGCCATAGAGCACCCATACTTCTATCAAAAATGTAAATGACGGAGACATTCAAATGAGATTTTATACTTTGTGAAGTTTAATTGGCACGGATCACTCAGCTTGTTTAGGGATTTTATTATTTTTTTTTTTTTTTTTAAGAATTTTTGAAGACAGTGGCCACAGATTCATTTCTCAATTAAATTGAGTTGTCTGGTACAAGGGAGGGAATGGGGCCGAGGCTGGTTAGGTCTGAACCTTTGCATTTGAGGGTCTAACATTTTGCTCTTACCCAGGGCTTTCTTTTTTTTTTGGTACAGGCAGTCAAACTCAGGACCTTGCACTTGCAAGGCAGGCAGCGGAACCACTGAGCTAAATCCCCAGCAACCCAGGGCTCTCAGAAGGAAGCTCAGTGGTGTTGCTGGCATCAGTTATAGCTTCGAGCTCTGGAGCTTCCACTCCCAGTGCTGAGCTAATTAACCCGTTCTGAACTGGAGTCACAGAGAGCAGGGTGTGGAGATGAATGTGGGCTGGAGGTCTGGGCTGGCAGGAGGCCTCAGAAGCCCTGCCCCTTGGTCAGATACAATTCAGCCAGCATTGTTGTCACCACTGAGGAGCTTGTATACTGTGGGGCAGCGGTGGTAGGGAGCAAGCAGACACAGACACAGACATGTGAGCTAGAGCCACTCATTTGCATGATGCCAGAGGGGGACAAGTGGTGACGTTTGAGAGGATTTGAAGGAGTGGATGGGGGGGGAGGGCAGAGCAAAGGCCAGTACCCTCATATGCAGGTTGGTTACAACACTGAATAATTTTGATCCCTAACACTCATTGACATCTTGCTCCTGCTCAGGAAATTTACCAGCTGCCTCCTCTCTTGCTGGGATCCAGTTATCAGTTATCCCTCTAACCCTGTATATCTGTAACCTCCTCTGGCTGGGCTTATTCAAGGAGCGGCTGGGCCCTTCTAGCCCTGGCTTTTTTCTCTTCTCCAATTCAAAGGGCTCAGGTAGTGTGTGAAGTCCTCAGGTAACTAGGGAGGGCTTCTCTGATGTAGTGAGCCTCAGTCAGTTGATTCAGGAAAGCCCGAAGTGGAGGTGAATAGCCACTGGGGGGATGAATGAGGGTGGGAATTTACCTTGGCCAGAGGCTCAAGTGGCTCTCCAGGACTGGGCTTCAAGTTAAGCCCCAGGCTGCTTTGGTGACGTGGCAGGGGCCAGCCCTTCCTCCTCCAAGCCTGGGGTTGACCCCTCGGAGCTGGAGCGAGGAAATTGGAGCCCTGCCCTGGCCTCCCCAGCTCTCCAGTTCAGACTTGCTCTTCCCTGGCTGAAACACACCCCTCCCACCCCCACTTCCTGTTTTTCAGGCGCAGGCTGTCACCCTCACTGTGGCCCAGGCCTTCAAAGTTGCCTTTGAGTTCTGGCAGGCAGCCAAGGAAGGTGAGTCTTTATCAACATCAGGGTGAGGTGGGGGCTGGGGAGACAGATAAAGCCCAGAGTCAGACCTGCACTGACTCCCAGTTTTACCCTGTACCTAGCTTGTGTCCTCTCACCTGAGTCTCAGTTTCTCCGTCTGCAAAAAGTACATCTGCTATCTCTTTCCCTCAGGGTATTTGTGAGGCTTAAGCAACATCCGAAGAGTGTCCTTCCTCCCTCTGGAGACCTAGCAGTTTCCCTGAGGTTGAGTCTACCCCTGGCCAATGATCACTGGGGACAAAGTGCTGGGATCTGGGGCTCTGATGCATTGTGCCTTGATCCCACAGAGAAAGAAAAGAGGGAGAAAGCCAGCCAAGAGGGAAGTGACACGCTGGGGACCCACCATGACAAAACACCTTCATTGAAAAGCTGTGAGTCTCGGGCAGAATTGGGGGGCTTCAGCTGCAGGGCCCTCTCTCCTGGGCTGGGGTAAACTTTTAGTGTTTTATCAAATCAGTGATACACATTCATTATAGATAAATTCGATAGGAAAAAATTAACTTGTTTTCCATCTCTGTGTCCACATATATAAATACTGTGTATGTATATATCCTGCTGTGTGCCCTCTGAAAAAGTTGACAACTGTTATAAAAATTAGTCTCAGCCATCAGAGAGGGACAGATTCTCTCCTTGTAGGCAGCTGACCAGGGCTGACAGCAAGTGTCAGGTGGGGCTCTGGCTGGTCTGGTGACAGGCCTGGACAAGGCCACATCTGAAGAGGGTGTCAGAAACTGGACAGCCCAAGGGCCACTCAGATGGGGTCAGGAGATGAGGCCAGGAAAGAAGTGGCCAAGCTCCCACTGATGCCTCTGCCTGGACCTCCTCACAGTGGTCACCACTGGGAACCTGCTGGACTTGGAAGAGACCACCAAAGCCCCACTGTCCACAGTCAGTGCTAACACTAATAATGTGGATGAAGCACTGCGGCCTCAAGCCTTGAGCAGCAGCAGTGTCATCTGGGTGAGTGGCCCTGTGCCCTGGGGACTCCACGGGATCCAGTGAGCCTCAGCCAGATCTGTGGATGAGCCTAAGGCAGCTCCTGGGTCCAGGCCCTGGCACCATGACTTGGGGCCTCTGGGAGGAACAGACCCAGCCCAGCTGCACCCAGGCTCAGGTTAGGGAAAGAACAATGTCCCCTTTGAACCCTGGGCTGTGTCCCCAGCAGTCCCGGCTCCCAGCACAGCTGTCTCCTCACAATGCCCAGCCTCTTGGCCTGAGCATCCACAGCTCTGCCCACCACAGGACCAGCCAAAGGCTCCTTTGTTCTTGGCAGGGCAGAGTTTGTGCCTGACACCCCTCCCTGGTTAGTAGGCTGAATGAGGAGCCCAGGACTGGGCTCCTGTCAGCCTGATGCTTGACTCCCTGTGACCCAGGGCAAGCCCCCTTCACCTCTCTGGGCCTCAGCTTTTTCATCCCCTCACTGAGGACCATGACATCTGCCCACAAATCTCCCAGAGGAATCTGAACTCTTTTAATTTTAATTTTTGACTTAGAAATAATTTGTGACTATGTTACAAAAATAGTGCAAGAGTCTGTGACAGTGATCAGAATTGGGAAGTGAGCACTGATATGACCTGTTATATAGTCTATAGAGCTTACCTCTCCCCAGTTGTCCTTCCCTGTCCTTTGTCTGGTTCAGGGTCTACTACAGATTGCATGGTCACTAGTCATATCTCTTTAATTTTTAAAAATCCAGAACATTGAGGGACTTTAGTAGCTGTCAGGTCCCTCCGGCTGTTGGGGGCAACCTGGGTGTCCCAAAGTGTGTCCTCTGTTGTGAGGACTTCACCCTTGCTGCTTGCCCAATGGCGCTGGGAGGCGGAGGAGGGACCTCACCCAGTGCTTTTCCACTGAGGCTCCTGCCATCAGTCATCTACATGAACTTAGGCTTTGAGCTTGGCTTTGGAAGGGGGTGAAAGGCAGCCTCCTTCTCTAGCCTTTGCCTTTTGGAGTTTGAAAGCCGTAGAAATCATCAGGTCCCACATTTTATAGGAGGAAAAGCTGAGTCTTAAGTAGAAGCCATGATTTGTTCCAGGTCCCACAGGTAGCTGGTGACAGGGCTGGGAACTGAACTCGCCAGCCCTTTCTCCTGTCCCTGCCTCAGCTTTGGGTCCCTGGGCTGAAAGGCTGTAGCTGTAGTGAAGTGGAAGCCCTGCCAATGCTAGTATCTCTGAGTGCCTCCCTACACCCCTGTGTCGAGCCCTGTAGGTCACCCAGGGCAGGACAGACCCCTGAGATGAGCGAAGGATCCTGCTCAGAGCTCTTACCTCCTGTTTTGTTTCCCCAAGGAGCTGGACGATGGCCTGGATGAAGCATTTTCTAGGTAATGTTGGCTGCTTACCTAGGGTTGGCCCTGCCTGCCCTTTCCTTCCAAGGACTCTGCCATGCCTGAGTATGAGTCCCTCTGATCATCTTCCCTCCAGATCAAGAATCCCACCTCTACTCAAATACCTCCTGGGACAGGGAGCTCACTGCCCAGGGAGGGAACCCCTTCCAGGGTGGCCAGATGTATTAGAAAGCTCTTATTACTAAGCCAAAACTTCTCGGTGGCTGCTCTGCCACAACTGAGCTGTTGTGCTAAACACACAGCAGCTCAAGGTTATTTTTTCTTCCTACACTGGAGGCAGCCTCCACTTGCTAGCTTTTTGCCGGCTTTGTCCCCTCCCCTCTGCACAGCTTGCCTTTATGCAGGGTCAGGGAGAAGGCAGTGCTTGATTAAGCCCCTTGAGTGCTGCATAGAGAAGGATGGCAGGCTCCTGAGCAGGGATTTTGGTAGAGCCCCATGGCGGTGGTGGTTCCCCATTTTCCCAGAAGCCATCCCTGTAGTCCTGGCTGCCTTCAGCTTGAGGACACACTGCCAAGAAGTCTGTGATCAAGGAGCGGCCTAGGCAGCTGGCTCAGGGTCCTGTGCTCTGGTCCCTAGTTACTCAGGTGCCCCTTTCCCCTTTGGGACTCAAAGCAGCTCCCTGCAGCCCTCCCCCTTCTGGGCTGTCACTTAGGGTTGGGGGTCTGTCGAGTGGAACAGAGGCAGGGACTTCGCTTTGTCCTCTTGCCTCTCCCCATCTTCCCTGCTTCCCTGCCTCACAACACCTCCTATTGTGAAGAAAAGCTTTTATTTGCTTTTCTCAGATTATTTGAGTATCATGTGCCTTTTATTAACAATTTCAGAAGTCAGCAAAGCATTAGACAGAAAATAACAGCATGTTATAGTCCCACAGCCCAGACTCCGCTTAATTCATGCTGGTCCTGTACATTGACACTATGTGGGACCCATCAGCTCATAGTCTTTGCCTTCAGCCCATGTGTCAGAAGCCCCTCTCCAGCTGTTACAAATTCCCACAAATACCTCCCGAGGATGTGGGCCATCATTCACATAGCTCACCCTATTCTTGCAGACATTTGTGTTGCCTCCTTTTTGGGTTACTGTTCTGAGTAGCACACTGTTGAACAGAGGTACAGCTAAGCAGTCCCCTTGTGATTGACCAGTTCCCACCCATGGCCAGCACTCACTGCCTTCCCACTGCTGCCCTCTTCCCTCTTCTCTGGGCAGCTCCTGCCCTGATTGAGCTCAGTGTGAGTGTCCTGGCTTTTCTGGGGATGAGGGTGGGGGCGATGGTAATCCCACTGCCTGGCCCACAGTTTAGACCCTCTAGGGAAGCCTGTTGTTCAGAGGCTGCACCTCCCCTGGTTGCTGGAACATTCTCCTTTGCCCCATGTCCTGCCCCCTCTCTCTTCTGGCCCTGGTATTGGCTGGGCTGCGCTGACTTCTCAGGCCCCACCAGCTCTGTACCTAGGCTCACCCTTCTCTGCCTTCCAGGCTGGCACAGTCGAGGACGAACCCCCAGGTCCTGGACACAGGACTGTCACCACAGGACATCCATTATGCCCAGTGCCTCTCTCCTGTCGACTGGAACAAGCCCGACACCAGTGGCACTGACCAGGATGACCTCTTCGGCTTCTGAGGGCCTGGGGCCAGCAGGATACAACCAGCCCTGACACATGACCACCGAAAGCCACCTGTGGTGGGGGAACCAGCTCCAAGCCCTTTCAGCCACCCCTTCCAGCCCACAGCAACGTCAGCCTGCAGATCAAAGCTGCAGCCAGTCAAGCAAGGGGAAGGAGAGAGATTTTTTTTAACCTCCTCTTTCTCTGAACTGAAAGAAGCTTTGAATATTTATTTAGTGACTCTTGGTCTGTGCTTGGAAGCCAGTTTTCCATCACACACATAAGGGGTGCAGTGCTGTGATTGGCCTTGTGCTCTTTCTCTTCTTGAGCCAGCTCTGCTCTCTGTGTGTCAGGACAGTGACCAAAGCATTTCTTGTCCCTCCTCCTTTCTAAGAACCCGGATTTCCCCAAGGACATCCCCACTCCTTATGGAAAGCAGCCAGAACTCGTCATCTTCTGAGCTCAGGAGGAGCCTGCCACCTCTGGCTAGGCCTGGGTCCTCAGGCTTGCCTTCCTCAGGGTCCAGCAGGCCTGGGATCAATCCCTGGCCTTGGAGCTCTCAGGAGGCAACCCTTCACCAAAGATAACACATAGCTTGGCACTTTAAAGCTTACAGCAGATGTAGCCCCAGGGGCTCCTCCGTGGTGCTGAACTGAGTAGAGCTTTCTTTCTGCCCTTCCTTCTTGAAGGGGCCCCACCTGTGCTGCGGCCCAGTGTGACGGGCTGCCCATGACTTCCAGAGTCTGATTAACCCCCTCCCTCCTCATACTTCCTGGGATGATGTATGAAAACTAGCACCTAGGTTCATGTAGGACTATTTTGCAGCCATTTCACAGATGAAGAAACTGAGACCACACACATGGAAAGGGTGGAGTCAAGTAGAACCCAGACCTGATGCCAAAGCTGCTTTCTCTGCTGCCACCTCTCACAACTCACACCTCTTTTTTTCTAGCTTTGTTGTCCTCCCAGGAACCAAAAATCCCCAGCTATTTTCTGACCAAAATGTGTTTCATAACAAACCATCTGGTGCCTTTCCACACAGAACTGGCACAAGACTCTGTGCCCTGCTGGCTTTCTCACTGTCGATTTCCATGAAGATGCAAGTTTTTGAAGTCTGCTAAATCCAAGGGTGAAACAAAATCCAACTCCATAAGCATCACGCTGTTCTCTTTCCTGACACTGCAGCCCGGTCAGGACATCCTAGCAGCAAGCTGTCTTTAGAATCTCTCTTTTCTTCCTCCCCACTTGGCCCTTGGGCTCTGGCATCCTGAAACCCAGCCAAGCCTGGAGCATCTTTCCCATCCCGAGGTGCCTCCCAGCAGCCTGGCTTGTCAGGGCAGGTTTCTGCATCCCCAGGAAACACAGGCATTTCTTAGAAGCTGCGTCTCTAACTGAGGCCCTGTATCAGAATAGGCCTGGAGGAGGGGCTCATAGGACCTTCATCAGAAGGAAGGTGACTTCCTTTCCCTATCCAGCGTCCATGCCCCTGCATCCCCTCAGACTGGTTTCAGCCTCTGTGGTTGTTGGGGCAGCAGGGTTGAGGCAGCTCACAGGCTGCCCTTGGCACAAGGCACCCGTGGGCCTTCTGTGTTGTACTGGCCACACTGTGGCCATCGTTGGTCCCTTGTTGACAGCTGTCTGTGCTTCCCGAGTGTCGACAGCCAAAGTCTTGTGCATTGCTTTGTGACGCTGTAAAAGGAGGCTAATGAGGGAAAAAAACAAATAATAAATGTTCTCTTTTTGAAATACAAGCAGCACTTAGAATGCTGGAGTGACCAGAGTGCAACAGCCAGCAGCTCCTGCCCTTTGTCAATGGAAGTGACCACAGACCTGGGTGGGCAAAACACCAAGAAGCAGTATCCCGGTGCATCCAGAGCAGGGATAATGGTCTCGGAGTCCCCTGTTCACCCCACAGATGGGCCTACGTATGATGAGGTCACCTTTGGACAACTAACAGTCCAGCAGTGATCCAGTGTGTCAACACAGATGAGGTCTCTGAAAGCGGGGGCCAGGGGTCTCGGGCCCCTGAAATGTGTATAAGATTTGTGTGTGTCCATATGGGCCTTTTTCCCATTGAGGGTGTCATTTTCATAACATTCTCAGATGATCCATGACATTTATTCACTTGTTAGATTTACTCTGTGCTGCAGGCGGGAGTGTCTCATGACTTGGGAGACCCGAGGCCCAGTCCTGGCTCTGCTGTGTAGGGACTCTGACCCCGGATCAGTCACTTCTTTCCTTGAGCCTTGCTTGGTTTTGCCTTCTGTGAACAAGGTACAACATTCTTTCTCTTCCTGCCTCCCTGGGTTCACATTTGGGAGAATGTGTACTCACAGGCTCAAAGGTTACCTGAGAGCAAAAGAGAATTGGGACCATGTTGTTTAAGAAAATCAGAATCAGTGACAGTGGCTATATTAACCAAGTACTTCCTGCATCCCAAGAGCTCCCGACCTAGCTCACAGTGGCCACACTGAGCCCAGATCCTGTCAGTTCCCCTAGTCCCAAGGGCTCTGGGCTCAAAAAGGAAGGCAGTTGTGTCCTGAGTGCTTGGTGGGGCCACTGCCCAGTCATACTGTGACCCTCACCTGCCACATCCTGGCCTTTAAAGAGATGTCTGTGGTCGAGCTGCCGTCAGCCTCCTGTTCATCTGCGTAGTGACCACCATGCAAGACTGCTCCTCAGGTCTCCCTGGCTGCTGTCCAGGGACTCTTCAGTCCCCTGGCCATGCCGCAGCCTTGGGCATCCTCTCTTTATCTCTTTACACCAATGATATTTCAAATGTCCAGAACCCAGAGGCAGAGCTCTCTGATGTCAATTGTTGGGTAGACTCCCTGTGAATTCTGAGTGGATCACAGAAGCCTAAGAAATTCTCTCCTTTCTTCTTTACCCCATAATCTGAAAAGACACCCAACAAATTCATCTTTCGGTTTAAATTTGGCCAGTGTCTTTAGTCTCCGGATGTCTCAAATTATGAATCCTGAGCACCCGCCGTCTGCTCTTTCATGCATAACGAATGGAGCAGGAAGAACAAAGTTGCCTTTCAGATTTGATGTGACCTTCAGCTTCTCTCAGTAGATGTTGGATCTTCAGGGGAAATCATCCCAATTAAATCTCCCTGAGGGCTTGTGACAAGCCTAGTTTGGTAATCAGGGTGAGTTCCACGGCTGGGGTGCTGCCTTGGGCCTGGGCTTCACCCATCTTTCCTCCACCTATCCCCGCATGTGAATCAGCAGGTGGCCTTAGGAAGTGACCTTTGACCCCATCAGTCCTTTATGGCCAACATCAGTGTTACCAATCCTTGCAGCTTTGCCACAAGGTAGGTGGTCCTGGCCCCAATTTAGGAGTGGGGCAACTGAGAGTTGGGGGAGATAAAGTCTCATAGCCAGTCAGAATTGGTCCTGGGATTTTGACCCCAATCTATCTGGCCCCAGAGCTCATTTATGCTGTACTGTGCTTCTCTTCATAGAGCAAAGGACACCCAAGCCAAGATCCTCCTGCCCTGCTGTGCTTGCACCAAACCCAGCAGTGAGCAGCTTGGAACTTGGGAACAGCCGGCCGTGGCTTCTTCACAGAAAGTCAGGGCAGGGACCAACTTCACAGACCCACCACAACAGAACCTTCCTCAGGTGGCTGCCCTTCGGGGCCACTTCTCTGGACATGCCCAGGTTAAACTCAGGGCCAAGGCTGCATCTCATCACATCGGGCACCCATTGCTGCCAGCAGTGTCATCCAGCTTGCCAGTGTGGCCCCAGCATGAGCCTGATGTCCCTCAGCAGTAAGGCTTCCTCTGGCAGTGGAGGTGAATGCCAGCCCCAGAGAGGGAGGGAGGAGGGAGCACACCTCTGAACACCCGAAGCAGTCACACAGCCCATTTAAGCTCCCTCAGCAACATGCTAGTGGTGATGTTAGTCCATTGTAAAAAAAATGACGCTGAGGGCCACAGGTTATACAACCTAACAGCCTTATACAGCTGCTAGCAGACAGGCCTGGGATTTAGATTCCTTGTAATCCTTGTCCTGGAGTGGCTCCGCCTCTTTTGAGGTCACTTGGAACATTTGGAGAACATGATGACCTTGCTTGGGAGCTTCTGCAGCCAAGAATAACCTCAGCCAGGTGCCAGCCCAGAGCCTCTGGGTGCCTCTTGCTTCTAGCTAGGACACATGTGGGCTGTGTGAGTACGTGTTGCCAGGTAGTAATTCTGAGTGCACCTGCTGAGCCCTAGCTTGGCCCATCCGGATGGCTGACCCCTTCATAGTCCAGGGGTGTGTGTCATGGTGCCCTTGAAGGGCCCTGGCCATGCTGTTGCCCATACCAGTGACCAAAAATCAGAACTGAAGAATGGTGCCTGGTGATTCAGGGGAGGGGGGGTCCTGGAAGAGAGGAGTCCTCCAGCTGGGCCTTAAGGCAGAGGAAAAGGGCTTGAGATGGCTTTTGCTAGCTTGGTTGCCTGGTGAAGCCAGGGCCTGTGTTTGATCCACCCCATGGCCCCAGTGTGCAGGCCGTCCTGGCATAGCATCTGGCCCTCAGTGAATCAGCTCATCAGAAGGTAGAACCAGCCTGGCTTCCTGAAAGAATCTGTAGAGAGGAAGGGTGGTCCTGGCACCTACGCAGCTCAACAGTCTACCTTGTGGGCCAGGAGGCCCATCGTCCAGCATGCTATCCCATGTGCGCTGGGCTTAGTCATTCAGAATTTCTTATAGCCAGGGTCCTGTGTGCCCAGTGATCCATTCCTCCGCCCTGATCACAGCTTGGTTTCCAAAATGCTCTCAAAGCAAGATTCTAGAATGCTAGTGCTAGAAGAGCCCCTGATTGTTCTCCAGCCCCCACTTTGTTTACAGTTGGGAACTGAGGCCCCCAGAGAAACAGGATTTTCCCAGGACTCAAGGACAGTTGAGAGGCAGAGCTGAGACTTGACCCATGTGTCTCATGGACCTCATGCCCTGTCCCCTGTCCACCCATGGCAAAGAAAGCATCCTTTCCATGCTCCATGCAGAAGGCCTCAGGCCCAAGGAAGGCAGGGCTTGCAGGGAAGTGGAAATGATTATGATAAGAGGCTGGAGAGGACCTCAGTGAGTTTTCTAGCACATTAACGAGCATCGACTCACACACACTCCATTCCCCCTCTCAGGCCCTGAGATCCCGTCTGCAGCTCAGGCTGCTGCATGGATGCCTGGAAGATTGACCTGCGAAACTCAAGCAGGGCAGATGGGGCTGGGCTTGAATCCTAGGTTTGCCACTTAGTTGTCTCATACATGACTCAGTAGTCTGTTTTCCATTTGCTCATCTGTGCAGTAGGATGGTGACAGATACGTAAGGAGTCATGAGGGTTAATGAGTGAACACTCCTACTGTCCTGGAACATGCTACTGTACAGCTGTCACTGCTACTGTTGGCTGCTCTATGAGTGGGGCAGCGTAGTGGGCTAACCCAGGACAAGGCCCACCCAAAGTGATAGAGCTGGGGTTGGGGGGGCACAACGCATGTTCTTGGAGCTTCCACCCCAACACCCCCCAGATGCACTTGTGGGCCCCGACCCCCCTGCCAAACCGTACCCTTCCAGAAAATGCTACAAGTTGGGAAAGTGTTCTGCTCTTGCTGTTTCAGTTGAAAGGCATAAGGAGAACCCATGTTCAGAGTCCCTGGAGAGGTCCCTGTAAGGGACCAGGGAATGTGCCAAGGTTGGAACTGCTATCTGCAGACTGTTCTGTGGTGGGATCTTGCAGGCGGGGGGAGGTGGAGAGTGCCTCACAGGCGTCTGGCCTTGAGGTACGGACGACTCCCCCGCCACACACTGACACTCTGGGGGTGGGGAGCTCAGGGGAGACCTGGAAGCCATGGCTCCCACATGCTGGGGGCCATGCTGAGAGCCCACACGTTACCGCATTTAACCCTTAGAACGGTGATGTGAGCCCTGATACTCGGGTGGAGTGACCCGACCACACCAGGACTGTAGCCCCGGACTGTCAGCACGTGTGCTGAGCCTGCCCCAGATGCTCTCTGAGCCAGGCCGAAGTCAAAGTCATTCTCTCCACATGCTTGTTCGAGCTGTGCCCACTGTGTCCTGGGTGCCCAGAACATGACAGAGAATGACAGGCATTCCCATCCTTGTGGGTGTTCTACTGGTAGGGGATGAAAGACCCTCCCCTCACACTGGTACAGGGAGCACATGTGGTATCAGCACTGTGAGGGAAGAAGGTGGGAAGGGGACAGGGACCCCCGTGGGACCAGGCTGCTTATATAGGGCGAGGCTGGCCTGAGAAAGAGCAGCTGAAGTGGAGAAAATAGCAGTGTAGACACCATACAGGAGGCAGCGGAAGTTTGGAATATGTGAAGGGGGTGGGGTGGTGTTGGTGGAGAACTGGGGGGTGACAGGAAAGGGGGACAGAGGGCAGCACAGATGGGGGCTCTCAACCTGCTCCTGAGGGCGGCTGTGGCTCTGCAGGGGTGTAAGGACACTGAGGCTGCTCAGTGAGGGTCCCCTGTGGAGACTCCTGAGCCACAGCAGTCCTTCAGGCCCAAGAGGAGAAAGCTCCAGGTTGACAAAGGGCAGGTGGGTGGCTGATGAGTGGACAGAACTTCCTCCCCATTTCCTGCTCAGCTGGGGGCTTCTGGGTCAGTGGAGGAAAAATGGGTGTGCACCACCAGAGCCTGGGTTTGGTGGTGTGCCTAGTCTGCGTGGCCTATGGGATGGGGTGGTCATGCTCTGAGTGGGGCTGAGTGGTACGCAGCCTGACGTCCCTTGTCACCGCCAG